TCTCTCTCTCTCTCTCTCTCTCTCTCTCTCTCTCTCTCTCTCTCTCTCTCTCTCTCTCTCTCTCTCTCTCTCTCTCTGTGTCTCTCTCTCTCTCTAGATCTATTGTTTACTATGTCAAAATTTTTGAAACTTGAAAAGCTGAAAGTTCATGCATAGATCAGTGTGCGTCTTTTGCCTCAAACAATGTACTGTCTGTTTTCCTTTACTCGTTCTGCCCGGCTTTACAGCCTGAAATCAATTTAGAGAATATTAATGAAATATATATGAACACAAAGTTACAAACCGCATAGATATAAAAAAGCGGAATTTTTAATTTTGAATGCTTGAGATGTCGATTGTCCTCGATGCACATGAAATGAGTTCTAAAACGCCGCCATTTTTTAAAACGTTTTTCTTGCTCTACCTAAATCCATTCCGTCTTCCATCCTCTCATTCCCTCCCTGGCCCCCCTCCCTCGCCCCTCCCCCCCTCTCCCCCCCCGTGCCCCCTCCCCACCTCTCTCCTCTGTGCCCTCCTTCCCTCCCTCTCTTCTTTCTGTCCTTCATTCTCTCCCTCCTCCCCGTCTGTGTCCCCCCTTTTTATTTTTTCAGACCGACGCTTCATTGGAACCCTCCCACCGCAAATGGAGGTATGGAGATCGCCCTAGAAATGGTGGGAAGAAAGGCGTGGGCATCTGTGGGATGGACAGAGGACGGCAGAATGAGAGGCGATGCTGTAATCGCCGGAAAGGATGCCACTGTGGGAGCATATCTCATCGAATCGGAAGACGCGTCGACCATTGCGCCGAGTACAAGCTTCAACATTTCAAAAGCATCGTGGAACGTCACCGACACAAGTACCATTCTTCGGTATGTTGTTAGTCACTCGTCAGAGTCCTCCTGAACGTATTGTGTATTTTTTCCCTCTCTCTTTTTTTTTTTCCCAATGATCATTCCACAGGTTCACCTCCGGAAACCTTGTCACGACTTCTGCTTCCACTAAATGAAAATGTTCAATGAAACTTCCCACAGGAACCGCAACGGAAAACCACCGAGACTCAGTAAATACTCGGAATGCACTGTGGAATTGTGTTTGTCTTGGATTGTGCCTTTGAGTCACAAGTTCTGTGTCACATCCCGTTTTGTTTTTGTTTATGTTTTTATTTTCCCTCCCCAAAAAAATTAAAAATTTTAAGTTACACCATTTCTCAACTTCCGCGTGTCATCCTCGAAAGGGCAGGGGCCATGCTAATCTTCTTTCTCTGTATCATTCCAAGTTCATGCAAGTTTTAACGGATGATGTCCCAAAGGGCTTTTTTTTTGTTTTGTTTTTTTCCCTTTCTCTCTCTCTCTCTCTCTCTCTCTCTCTCTCTCTCTCTCTCTCTATCTATCTATCTATCTATCTATCTATCTATCTGTCTATCTATCTATCTATCTGTCTATCTGTCTGTCTCTCTGTCTCTCTGTCTGTCTATCTGTCTCTCTGTCTGTCTCTCTGTCTCTCTGTCTCTCTGTCTCTCTGTCTGTCTCTCTCTGTCTGTCTCTCTCTCTCTGTCTCTCTCTCTCTGTCTGTCTCTGTCTCTGTCTCTGTCTCTGTCTCTGTCTCTCTCTCTCTCTCTTCTCTCTCTCTCTCTCTCTCTCTCTCTATCTATCTATCT